AGGTTAGTAAGACGTCTTGTTCTTTTTCCTGTATTTTTCTTTCCCTTCAATACAATCAATTAGCCAGTTTCCTCCAATTCGTTTATTTCTTATCACAAAGCATAACTCTAGGATAGACTCTAACATTGACGGGTCCATGGATTGGATGAATACAAACAAATGCATCATTTATGAGTTGATGGTAATTCATTTAGAGGATATTACTGAATTATACAGGCTACAAAATTTGGATCTTATTTGGTTGACTGATTTAGTTTTGTTTATGTATCCATCAAAAGTTGGTCTAAACAATTAGAAAAAATATCATGGTACACTTTAGAAGAATCCAAAATAAGGAAACGAAAATGGAATTGTAGAGCTATTAAGGAAGCTGAATATCTGAATGTAATTCCTTGTTTTACCCTTCCCAACCCTCGACACGTACAAAACCGAATCTGAATACAAAAAATTCAAACAAATACAGTTCGAACCTGGTAATTCCATGCAGCCTCAACAAGATGAGTACCATACTCCTCAAGCATTTCATACAGTAGGAAAAATGCACCCCATTTCAGCCGACTGCTTGAATCAGAACCAACTGAATTGCATAAGCTCTCTATACCCAGAGATTTGGCTTCCTTGTCTGCCCACCGCTCCCTTTTTGTCAAACCATGAGAGTTTGAAGTTGTGTCATTGGATATTGACTCTAAAACACTAGTGTGCTGCTTCCCCTGGCTGATTGTTACTGTACTCTTCAGCACATGTAATGATTGCTTCCTCACTATACTTTCCTTGTCGACCTATTATAATTAAGTGTTAAAGAAACTTATAAGTATTTTTAGTATTTTACTCATTTTAGCATTATTAAATGTAACCAAGACAGCTATATACCAAGCCTTTCTTCATCTCATCCCAAAACTCTTTCTCAGCCCTTAAGTCAAATGTTCCATCTCCATTCACGGAATCATCCTCGCATCCATCACTCTTGGAGGAATTAGATATATACAAAGAAAGTACAGTGTATGCATCTCCTCTCTCAGAAGGCCCCATTGAAAACAAATTCTTGCAGCATTTCCAAATTTTAGCAAAAAACATCTTCCTGGAAGGAAAAAGAAGATATATGCATACATGTCACAGTTGTAAAACAGTGAATCTTACAACAATGTGTAGATGACATCATCTTGACATAAAAATAATACAAGGAGACTTGGAAGTCTACCTGGATAATAGAAACTTTTGCCCATGAACTGAGATCTCAAACACATTTTCAGAGACAAGAGCCTTTAAAAGGTGTGGAAGGAAAACAGTGATCGCACAAGACCGATGTTCCGGGCTGTGTGAAAGCATTTGCAAAGTCACGTTACAAATATCCCAAAGCAGGTTACCTGTAAATATATTCACACTGCATCCATTTGCCAAAATTGATCCAGACGTACTTTCTGAAACAGGTTTACCTTTTACAGACGCATCTAAAATAGATGCTAATATATGGCATGCCATGAGCAATGGAAAAGACTCAAAACTGATCAATGTGGAACCTTCAGGACTCTGAGCTTGTCCATTCCACTTATAAAAAGCAAATTGTTCATTTTGAAGCATTCCCATAGTCAAACCAACCACTTTGATAAAATAGGGAACCATGGTTCCTTCTACAACCCCCCAGGCGTTTGTTTCCATCACAACATCCAAGAAAGAAGCTATGGCCTAAATCAAAATCATGTCAAAAAACAAAATGAGGCACAGAATTAGTTGATGGGATCATATTTATAACTTCCCTAACTCCGCATTTACCTTGTCAACTATCTCACAATCATAACCCTGTGTCAACCTCATTAATGGAATTAACACACTCCAGATGAAATTCTGTAAAGCTTCAGCATTAAACCCTGCAGAGAAATTAGTTAGAAAATTATAGATAAAGTACTTCTCAGTTATGGGCCTAGCTAAAACTTAAGCTACAGAATAAAGTCATGAACTGCCCATGGCAAACACTTGCAACTCACTTACACTTCAGCTTACAGGTGAACACAAGATATTTTAATATAAAAGGAACAAGAGTGGAAAAGGACATGTAATATTAGCTTATCAACTTCTGGTTCAGGAAAAAAAAAGCTTATATTTTTTATCTATTGATATTTTCTAGGTTAGACATTGTCTAATGCCTCCCAATCAATTACTTGAGCCACTCCATTTTTCTTATCAGGACTTGAGCCTCTCTTTAACGGTGTTGTTCTAGAAAGCAACATGAAGTCGGTGCTCAAAGTATACGTAAAATCTATAATATGCCAAAGAAATAATCTCAAGTCATGTATAAAGCATGTCACTGAAATACATTAACTTCAGATGGCAGCCAATTGATATTCTGATATTATGTATGCACAAAGTAAAAAAAAACCATTAGCATTTCAAACCATTGAACTTGGAATTTAGGTTTGTCAGCAGCCAGCATGCTTTCACATATGCCAAAAACACGGAAGAAAAAAAAACTTGAATTGGCATAAACTAACAGAAGGAAAACTAGGTTCACCAAGAATAGCATATAAGGCTCTAGTTGACAGCTAGAGTAATGCGTTCACTATTCTTATCTTTCATTTCCAAGTATTGGTTGTTAGAAAATGAAGTGCATTACGATGATTTGAAGTACTAATCACTCACAGACTTGATATACACTCATTATCCCAAATCACAAAGTTCACAAGATTCATTTATTAACAACTAAACCAAGTCTATATACATAACCAACTGTGGATAGTGGCATTGCAGATAGGCTAGTTTAAAACAACTTTTAGATATTTATAATGCAACCTGCTGTTTACCTGGTTTCTTCAAAAGGTGACAAAGTGCACCCACATACGAAGCAATAAAATTTTGATGCTCATCATCCAAGATTTCTTCACTACCATGTGTAACTTCCTATTTCAAAAACCAATAATCAAACTCAATATATTTTGTAAATAAGAATTGTAAATTGCTTTAAATGTTAGAAAGTGGTGCAGTATTAAAAAATTCACACGATTAGAAGAAATTAAAAAAAATTACATATTTTTGCTTTTCCGTCCTTCTTTTTAATGCTTTTTTAGTATAATAGCAGAACCATATTGATATTCAATAATCCTTTTTGTTCCCTCACTTCAACAGAAGAAAAAGAGTAACACTTTGACTTTGATTATCAAACCAACCACTATTCAGTTGAAGTAATTTGAAACTTATAGCTTTCTCAATTATCACTTTTACTTGATAGTTGTACTTGGTGGGTCGATAAGTGTACTTGATGGATGATTGGCTTCAACTAGTATGTGGTTAATTGTGTTGGTGGTGAGTTAGTTTTTCCATGTTATCTTAGTCATTAGACCATGGCACGAAATTACGAGATGCTATTTAACTACTTCATTAGCAAGATTTAAATGTACAAGTTTTAAATCAACAATTTAGTGTTAACGTTATTTCCTCTTCCACTATTCTATCTCCCCTGTTTTTGTAAAATATTCAGTTTCAAATTTGAATCTAAATATGTGAATAACATTGTTAGTTTCTGTGTTTGTATGTTTATGCATATATGAATATGTATATATTCCATGGACAGACCTAATGTGGTGGCATGGGTGGCACGTGCCACCGTATTATTTCGCGGCCAAAGGGTAAAAAATTTATGTTTGTTAACGGTGCTACCATATCGTTTTAGAAGGTGCTACCGTATTTCCCTGAAATCCAAATGGTGCAACTAAAACCCAAACAACACAAAGCCCAAATAACCAAAACCATACTTTTTGTAATTATTTTTGGGTATATATTGACCGTTTTCAAAAGATGAAGACGCATCGGGTACAAGTTTAGGAGTTGTTTATCGGTACTTAGGGCTGTAAACGAACCGAACAAACACGAACGGAGGCTTGTTCATGTTCGTTCGTTTAACTTAACTGAACAAACGAACGAACACGAACGGTAAACGAACAAAAATCTTTCTGTTTGTGTTCGATCGTTTAGAAATAAGGTGTGTTCGTGTTCGTTTATGTTCGTTCGTAAACATGCTAAACGTACGTAAACGAACGAGCTAAACGAACATAAACGAACACAAATAAATATTATTTGAATTCAAAGTAAATAAATAAAAGATAATATATTAAACTTAATATATAAACGAACATAAACAAACGAATATAAACGAACGGTAAATGAACGAACGTTCACGAACATAAATGAACGAACGAGACTCTTGTTCATATTCGTTCGTTTAATTAAACGAACAAAAGAAAAAAGTTCATGTTCGTTCATTTATTAAATAAACGAACTTCCCGCCGAACGGTTCACGAACGGTTCGCTGAACGTTCAGTTCATTTACAGCCCTATCGGTACTATAAAAACCATATTTTTTGTAATTATTTTTAGATGTATATTATACTATATTAATTATATGGTGTCACCGTTTGAAAAAAATTCCGGGTCCGTCCCAGATATATTCATGTATGAATTTAACCCATGTTGTTGGGTTTTAAACAAGGAGAAGAGTGCATTAACTTATGCGTTTGAACCAAAATGGATTGGCAGAGGTTTTACCTGTTTAGGAGGATTTTAACAGAACTTAGACATTTCTATTGAAAAAAAAAATGGGAATTCGCAAGGCTAGTTGCTAACATTAAAGTAAGAACAACCCTTTACCTGTGAGAGGATTGGGAGGGCATCAAGCAGCAGAAAGAAAAGGGAAGATGGGGGAGAAGTTGTGGAAGCTAAGATACAATCCAACGTCGCCGGAATGGCAGCCGGAGGAATTCGGCGGAAACTAGACATAAGTGAAGTTGCAGAATCCATTACTTTGTTTCTCTTTGCTATTAGATTGGATTACGACGAGGTATCAATCAATTTTTGAAGGGGAATCTTGGTCGATAGAAGCGGCTTCGTGCTTGTGCAAGGGTTTTAGCAAGAAGGGTTTTACCTGCAAATGCAATGGTGCCAAATTTGACTTTCTTTATATATTTGATTGATTTTTGTTTTTTATTTTTATTTGATTACTTTCTTATTTCAAAATTACAATTTCCTCCCTATGATTTGTTGTAAATTTCTGTTTTCGTCTTTATGGTTTTAATATTACGATTTTCGTCCCTGTTGTTTGAAATTTGTTACTATTTTCGTCCTTGTGGTAAACTCTGTTAAAAGCCAGCACTAACAGAGGGGTATTTATTTTGTTTTATTACTTTTTTTATTCTTTTTAATCATAAAATAGACCCACAAACCTAGGGACGCTCATGAATTGAATTGATCGGGTTGAAGGCATTTTAATAACCCAACTCAATGTTTGTGGTGTGCTCGTTTGATTTCACGACCGCCGCTTGACGCCCCCNCCCCCCCAATGTAAACGACTCTCTTTTTCTAGCTTACCGAATCAGTCACTTATTCAGCTATTAAGCCATAACTGAACAACTATGTATGGCTTACTGAACAAGCCATATATCCCACTCAGCCCATAAAGCCACTTCCGAACAGCCCCTAAGTGTCAACAGTTAAGTGCCTTACATGAGAGTATTTTAGTGTTTTCTTTGTTAGAAACGATATGGGAAATTGTTGAATTTGTTTTTTTCATATTGTTGTATTTAAAAAAATTAATGGGGACCTTTTTTAATTTATACTTCGACTCGAATAAAATAGGGTTTATTGAATGTTAAAAAATATCTACATGTGCTAAAAAGGACCAAATAATTCTACGTCATATTTAGTTGATCAATTTATTTTAAACAAAGGTTCTATAAAAAGATGTGCTCATATGACAATTTCACAAGTGTCGTATAAAAAATGTTAATAGGTCAATTTATTTTAAAAGTGTCTTAAAATACGCCTAAAATCATTTTATACATTATTGTAATGAAAAATTAATTAAAATATAAATTTTGACCGGTTGGTTTCACCTATTAGTCATTTCTCTCCAAAAATAACACATATGTCACTACATCGGCAATTTTGTGGACCTAGCTAAACGACAAATAAGAAAAAATCATTTTTTACCTACCTCCGCAATTTTCAGGTAGCGACGTTTGTGTAATTTCTGGAGAGAATTGGCTAAGAGGTGAAACCATGCGGCCAAAATGACTATTTGATTAGTTTCTCTATTGTAACACTTTTACATAGAACGTACAATTGTTTGATATAAGTTACTGAATGACTTATAAACCCAAATAGTTGGGCGTTCTATTAATTAAATAAAATATATCTTTTTTGGTAAAAATAGCTTGTAAAAAGTTAACTATTCTGTCCTACAAAAAAGTTGGTTGTTTTATAAAAATGTCATATAAAAAGAAACGGACAAAAAGGTACTTATTAAATCAAAATATAAAAAAATACTAAAAAAGACTAAAATAACCTTAGATTAACAAATTGATGTTTAACAGAATTGGTCTTAAAAATCAAAATAACAACAATTTACAAATCATAGGGATGAAAATCGTAAATTTAAAACCACAAGGTATTGAATTGACAACATATTGTACGAAAACTAGACAATAAGTATCACATAGATCGTATTTATACATACATCAATTCTTACGATTGTGTTCATTTCGGTCATGAACAATATCATTTCTTCATGAGACTTTTAAAGGGCATAGCCATCTCAGTCCTCATGAATGTGACCATACATCGATCTTACATAAGCAATTCCAATCAATAACATTCCATGGTATTCCACTGTAGGGGCTATTAACATTATTAAGAATTAGAATTCAACCTTTAATTAAACGTCAATGGAGAATATGATTGAGGACATCATACGTATAGGCATACATTTGTGTTTGTTCCAGCTTGAACTTTCCTCAACCAGTTTGCCTATTAAACCTAGATCATGGGATCTCCAATGTTGCTAGGTTAGGTTTCCGTCAAGTATGAACTCATTATGTTGGCTTTAAGCCCATTCCCCTCAATGTAAATATAACTTACTCTCTATTTAGGCATTTTGTCAAAGAATCTGTTATATTTTCCTTTGACTTTATATAATGAAAGAAAATAATTCCATTTTAGCAAGTCCTTTATTGTGTTATGGCGACGCCTTATATGTCTTGATTTTCCATTGTAAATATGATTCTTTGCTCTAGTAAGAGCAGCCATACTATCACAACATGTACAAATTGTTGTCACATGCTTAGGCCACAACATAATACCTTCTAAGAATCTTTTAAGTCGTTCGGCTTCTTCAGTAGCTTTGTCTAATGTTACAAACTCAACTTCCATAGTTGAACAAATATTCACCATTTGCTTAGATGATTTCCACGATATTGATGCTCCACATGGAGGTAAAATATAGCCATTTGTGGACTTACTTTCCAAGTTATTAGAAATCCAATTGGCATCACAATATCCTTTTAAAATACGAGGATGTTTAGTATAATGCAAACCATAGTATATCGTGTGTTTAAGATATCGGAGCACTCTAACTAGTGCATACCAATGAACTTTACCAGGATTATGTGAGTATCGACTTAGTCTACTCACTATATATGCTAGATCTGATCGTGTAAAGTTCATGATATACATCAAGCTTTCAGTACTTAAGTATACTTTAACTAAGATACACTGTCTCTTTGATTCTTCTTTAGTTGACTTGGAGAATCAAATGAAGTAACGACCAATCAGTCATTATAGCATCCAACTTTTCTAAGAGCCTTCTCTATATAGTGGGACTAAGTGAGGATGTATCCTATCATAAAGTCCGTTGAACTTTAATGCAAAGTATCACATCGGTTACCTCCATATCCTTCATATCAAACGAGGAATGTAGTATTCTTTTTGGTTTGAGTAAGGGCTCGTTTACCAAACACTTATCTGGTAAGCGCTTATCGGTAAAATTTAACACTACTACTTACTTAGTGGGTAAAACTTAGTCCATCAAAACGCTATCGTATGCAACAATTTACCTAGTAAGCATTTACCATGGTAAGAGTCGTCGCCCTCACTTACCGGGTAAGACTCTCGGTTCTTGTTTCCCTCTTACCGCGTAAGATTCTTGGTCCTTACCATATTCATCCGATAAGGTAATGTGACTTGATAAACGCTTACCCAAATAAGTATTTGGTAAACGGCCCCTAAGTAAATCCATATTAGTCCCCATGACGAGCATATCATCCACATACAAATATATTATGATGTAAGCGTTCATATATTGTTTTACATATACACATTTACCACATTCATTAATTTGAAGACATTGTGATAAGAGTGTGTTATCAAACTTCCCGTGTCATTATTTTACAATTTAGGCTCGTAAGCTAACAAATCAAATTAAAATAAAAAGAGCTCATGTCTGCATGGGATTTACAGTGTTTGTTTGAATTGGTTTACGTTATTGTAATCATTAGCATATTTTTTGCATATGAACGCAGCAGAGAACCCGTGTGCTCTGATCGTGCGTCGGAGGAAGACGATCAACCCATCGAGCCTTACTCTGATATCGGCATCGACCAAATTAATGAACTCATGTTCAAAGATTGACCAATGGATTTGATCCCTCGTGTATGCAGCCTTTGAGAAGTTTGAAAGCACATTATTCTTCTTTAATCTTTGTGATTTAATGTGTCGGAACCGCATGTTGTGCGGTAGCATGAGTACTTTGGTTGGTGATTCGAAGATTGTTTATATAAATATATGTTAGTTGTTAATAGAATCATCAACAAATAGTATTCAGATAATGCAAAAAAGTTAATAAAATCTTATTAGTGAAAAAGGATTTAAGTTCATAAATATCTTTGAAATTCAATAAATACCTATTTTTTAATAGATAACTAATTACATTTTATGTTTGATAAGATGAAAAATCACTTGTTTATTATAATATGAAACATGTGTTTTTTAACATGTGATCGGAGTAAAGGAAGCAGTTTGTCAAAAAAAAATATAAAATGAGGTTTTTATTATATTAGAAGAGTATTCGTGTAATGCAGCGAGACACATATCGATTTTAATGTTTTATTTTATTCTTTGTTTTTTTCGATGTTATAATACGATTTTATGTATTTAAAAAAAATAATGATTTTATTTTTGAATAAAATATAAATTTGAAGATATCATAGAAATTTGGAAAAAAAATATATATCAATGTTAATATCAAATCAGCTATTTAAAAGTTCTCATTTTTTATATAATTT